AGTTCAAACGGGGGGAATTGTATGGTCTATGAATTAAGTCTCAATAGAGCTGCTATGAAACAAATTACATGAGGTTTAAAAAAAGACAAAGCGATGGAAACATATCTATTAAGTAAATAACAGCTCCCTGGGGTCGTGATGGGGTAAAATGGTTAATATAGGAAGCCAACATTACAATCGTGGAAACTGAGGCTGCGTGAAGAAGAATGACCCGCCCAGGCCACATCACTACTGAACCAGAGTGCGCCATTCCTAAGTCTGGCCAAATCCAGAAGCTTGGCCCAAGCACTGGGCGACCCGGCTGGAATGGGAGGCCATGAGATGGGGTGCGCAAGAGGTGTCCACAGCCCAGGGTGGGGGACAGACCTGCCAGGAGGTTGGGGAGGCAAAGGCCCAGCTACCTCTGTGGGGTTCAAAACAGGAAGCACCCCCCAAAGCCAGGGGAGTGCCAGAGAACGCTCCCACCAGGGGATGCTACCCGAAAAAGCGGCCAGCCCCGTAAGACCTGAGACCTGAAGTCAGGAGGTCTGAGGGGGAGTTTAAGCCCTCGCTGGGGGACCTCGGGTCATGGACGTGCTGACCTCTCCGAGCCTCCAGTTTCCCCCACTCGGTAAAAGGGGAAAGGGGCGAAGGTGAATAGGCGCAGTGCTTTCGAAAGGATTGCTGAGTCAGACCCGGTCTCCCCCTTCCTCTCCTTTGAGTGGGAAAGCCCCAGGCTGACCTCCATCCCACATGGTAATAAAGACTCAGACGCTCACAGAATAGCAGCCTGAGGGCCCTGTTGACCCAGCAGGACCCTGCAGGCAGTTCCAGAGCTGAGGCCGGTTCTGACAGGCTGTGCCCGCCTTCCTGGTTGCTACCTCTTTTAGCATATACCTTGGCTGTGGCCGATGCCCCGTAAAAGTACCGGCCCGCGCCCCAGCACCCTTAGCTGCTGGGGCCACAGAGAAATGGTAGTTTTTATAACCCATATACTTCACCACTGGGCCTCTCAAGTTCATCTTCCTCAGTCCAAGCCCAGCTAACACGTATCCTCGTTCATGCTTTCACAGCCACCCCTCCACGGGAGCTGAGGCATGGAGGAGGGTGCCTGGTTTAGATGCTGCTCTTTAAACAGTCTTAGGTGTCCGTGTAGTTTTACCTAATTCCTTTGTGGGTTGATCTTCAGATCCAATAAGGTTAGAAGAGGGGTTTGAACCCCTTTTATGAGGAGCAGCGGGGCAGGAGGGGGCTCCCTTAGCCACGTGTCTACACGGGCACATGCACAGGGCTGCATGCAGCTCAGCTCACCGGGACGTGCAGCAGCCAAAGCTGGGGAGCCCACTCCACAAAAGCCCACCCTGCGGGCTGTGACTCCTGCAAACCCGGCTGAGCACCGGCTGAGCACCGAGGCCCAGCACACACTTTCAAGTGACATACTGCATGCTTCCTGGTGCCTGCAGCTGGCGGAATGGTGCCCGCACCCCACCTTCCAAGGTATGCTTATCGTATGTTTCCACCTGTCAGACTGAACTACACTGGGGCGGGTATCTCTGTCTTGCTGATTCACTGATGTGTATCTCAAGCGCACTGAAGAGTGCCAGCACGTGGCACATGCCCAATAGCTATGTTTTGACTGACCACAAAAAAAAAATTTAAAAGATGACTCTGCCAGGTCCGGGGTGCCCAGCCTCAGCGCCCCTGCCCCCTTGCTCTTGCTACCCCTTCCAGCCCCAAGCTTTGTGAGGCGTCCTCCGTCCAGCTCATACTGGGAGGGAGAGGTGGCCGGGCGGTGGGATCCTCCGGCCACATTTCGCCCCCTCCTCCCGTGGGACCCCAAGTTCAGGAGGGTTTCCCCTGCCCCGAGCTCTCGGCGCACCCCTCTCCAGCCCGCGATTTCCGCCTCCCAATGCCTCCACTTGTGATTCGCCCGGTAACTCCCACGGCGGCTGCAAGCAAACTTCCACGCGCCCCCCGCGCGTCCCGGCGCCCGCCTGGGGCTCCCCGCGCGCCGGGGAGGGGCCGGGGACTCGGGCGGCGGTGACACGCCGCGTCCCCCCAACTCCCCGCCCCCGCCACACACACACACACACACACACACACTCACACTCACACACGCGGAGAGCCTCCCGGGTGCAGAGTCCGAAGCGGGAAGCGCGGGAATGGGGCCGGGCCCCTGCCGTACCCGGCGGAAAGCGCTCGGAACGCCCGCCGGGTGGGGATCCTCCCACCGGCCGCCCGCGCTGCCTCCCGGGCTGCTCTGAGCCCCGGAACCCCGGCAGCTTCGCCGGGCCCGGGAGGAAACCGCGAGGGCGGAAGGCCCCCCGGAGCCGACCCGCAGGCCACCCCTTGCCGGAGGCGGCCGCCCAGGCCCCCCGCACCACCCCAGGGCCACCTACCGTGCGGAGCGCAGCGAAACGGCCCGAAACGGCCCGCGCGACCAGCGAGCGACTCCCGGCTCGCCAGCCGCCCCGGCCGGGGAGGGAAGGAGGGAGACACCCGCGCGGGGGCGGGGCGCGGCGCCGTGACGTTGCGCGGGGGCGGGACCATGGAAGGCCCCGCCCACGGCTCCGCCCCCCGCCCCGCCGCCTGCTTCCCGACCACGCGGTGGGGGCGTGGCCCGGGAGCTGATGCCCCGCCCACATACACACACACCCGGAAGCCCTGATCTGACGCTGGTTTAGCCCCTGGACCCGCGCTCACCACATTCCCTCCTCAGGCAGCTGCGCTTTAGAGAAGTTCCCTTCCGTCTCTAAGCAGCGAGTGCAATGATCGCCAAGAAGTGGTGTAAAAAGAAAAGTGGCCTCGACCCCGCGCAGGGTGCATTTACGCTACTGTTAGTATAAAGCAAAGAAAAAAGAGGGAGGGAGTATTCATTCATCTGTGTTCAAATATGCCCGTGGTTCCTAAGGAGGGGGCGATTTTGCCCTTCGCCCCGCATCCCCGGGGACACTTGGCAATGTCGGAAGGCATTTTTGGTTGTCATTATTGGGAGGGGGGTTGTCATGCTGGCATCCAGTGGATAGAGGTCTGGGACGCTGCTGACTGTCCTCCGAGGAACAGGACAATAAACAGTGCCTGCCCTGCAGAAGGTGCTGGGCCCGACAAAATGGAATCCCTGCCTTTTCATGGAGCCCGCTGTTACTGTCTGCAGTGGATAGAACAAGATTATATAGTGTTTATTGTGCACATATTAGAGGTCTTGTATGACTAACCACATGGGAGCCCTGCTGAGTGTTTTGTAATGTCCCTTGGTGGGTGGAGGAATAGGGATCAAGAGGTCTTGAATGAGGCATTTCCTGGGCACCCTGTGCTGGGCACTGGGAGTCAGCTGGTCACAGGAGGACCCGGGCCCTGTGTCCAGGTGGGGGAAGCTGACCCCCCAATAAGCATTGGGGAGCTGGGAACAGGGGGTGTGAACCTGGTCCAGGATGGGAGGGTCAGGGGTGTTTATACTGTGTCCTTACACTGAGGCCTGAAACATAGATGTGGGTTCATGGAAGAGTATGCCAGGCACAGCGACCCACAGGTGCAAAGGTCCTTCTAGGGGCTTTGCATAAACTGAAGAGTGGTCAGGATGTGGGGGGAGAGGGGAGAGGAGGTCAGAGGAGTCTGCCGGGGTTGGTGCTGCAGGACTTCGCCAGCTGTAGGAAGAAGTCAGGACTTCAACTTGCAGCGATGGACAGACACACAACCACCAAGCTATGGCTTCCTGTTTCAATAAGCTTCGCCTGGCTCCACCCCAAGCACTCTGACCTCCGTGCCTTTGCTCGTGGTGCTGCAGGGGCGCCAGGCACAATTGTGCAAGCTGGGTACAGACAGCACAGGGTGTCCCATGCACGCTGTAGACATTACAGATTTATACCAATCGTTTCTGGGCAGGTGGCGGTCAACGGTCTTGAGGAAAAGGCATCTTTTTAATCATTAGCAGGGACCCAGCTGTTTGCTCTGCCTGGAATGTCCTCCCCTCCCCTTCCCCCTTCTCCATTAAGCAAGCTCCTGCTCCATCCTTCAAGGCCTCCTTCACACATCCCCTCCTCCAGGAAGATAACCATGGCAACACCTCCCCAGGCTTCCTGCAGGGATTAAAGGTTAATGCGATCAATCAACGATAACTGACGATACGGGAGTCAATATTGCCTGGTGCCCATTTCCAAAAAAGCGAGGCCTGGAGCATTTGCAGTAGGTGGAATTTGGACCCCAGGATTAAAGAACACTGAAGCAGATACAAGAAAATAATGCTCTTTTCGGTCTTCTTCGATAAAACCAGGGAGAAAAAAAATCTCAGTTTGGTGCCAGCGTGTCTTTCGTACCTCTGACACTTGTCACTCACCCTGTCCAAGAGCAGATGGCAGGTTCCCAGCCTCCCGCAGGCCGTGGTGTCTGCTGGGAATTCTCTACCTGGCCTCCTTTCAGTTGTCTTTATTTATGAAATTGCTTTCTATCTATGGCATATGATGCTGATTTTCCACTTCCCGTGGCGTTGCAAAGTCTTATTTACAAATCAATGCATTTAAGCGCAAAATAGTAAGTCTATTTAAACAAAAATAGTAAGTAAATAACAAAGCAGGTGGTACGTATAGAGTGCAAAAAAAAAAAATCATGAGGCTGGTGTGTGAAGGAATAGAGTTTGCAAACACAGATTTGTTTGGGAGCCCAGCTCTGGAGCCAGACTGGGTTCAGTTCTCCACTCGCTAGCTGTGTGGCCTGGGGCAGGTCGCTTTCCCTCTCTGAGCCTCCATTTCCTGACTTGTTAAACGGGAGTCATTATAATACTGGCCTCCTAGAGTAGTTCAAAAGTTATGCCAAGAGAACGTGAGTGGAGAGCTTTGCAGTGCTTGCTGTTTCTATGATGAAGACCGAGAAAGTCACAAGCCAGCAGTGATGGGGGACCTCGAGACAGACACCTGTTCGCAGACCCAGCAGACATTTTGGCTTTAGGAACTTTAATTTGCATGAGAAAGATGGGGAGATGGAGCCTGAGGAACGGTGAGAGGAGGAAGAAAAAATGGAGTGTAGACTCACTTGGGGGGCTCCGCCGCCAGGACAGGGAAGCAGCCCTCGAGATGCCACTGCCTGTCCCGAAGGCGGCGCAGGGCCTGCATCTGAGGCTGGAGGGCTCCCCATTCATTCCAGTGCCGGAAGTCACCAGGCTCCAGCAGGTACTGGTCCCCGAGGTAGCAGGGATACTGATACCCTACCCAGCTGGGAGGGAGCAAGAAGGACAGTGTAGAGATGGCAGCCTCACTGCCAGCACCCAGCCCCTGCCTGGACCAGCCAGGTCTCCATGTGTCCTTGCAGTCTCCTCTAGTGTCCTTGCACTCTAGAGAGAGGGGAGGGTCACCTTGCAAAGTCTGGTTTAAGTTCTAGCCTCCTCAGATAAGCCTCTGACCTCTCCTCCCCTCCAGCACACGCCCCCAGAAGCAGTCATTCTTCCTCTGACCTCCCGTCTGGACCACCTCTGAGTTAATATTGTTGATTTCAGAGAGGGAGAGGGAGAGAAAAACATCAATGATGAGAGAGAATCATGGATCGGCTGCCTTCTGCACGCCCCCTACTGGGGATTGAGCCCGCAACCTGGGCTCAATGTGCCCTTGACCGGAATCTAACCCGGGACCCTTCAGTCCTCAGGCTGATGCTCTATCCACTGAGCCAAACCAGCTAGGGCTGGCCAATTTTTGGTTCCTTGTCGACACCCCGTCTTCCTCGCTTCAGGGTCTTTGCACTCACTGTACCCTGGAAGGCTGCTCCACCACCCTTCACATGGCTGCCTCAGTTCCCATCCTCCGGGAGCTGTCTTTCCTGATCACCCCTGACCACTCCTTCCCCCCAACATCAGAGCCCCAGTTCCTGGCTTCCGCTCTCCCAGCGCACTGCACGCTCCCTGTGCAGCACGGACCACAGTGGTTTGCCAGAACAGATTGATTTCCATGATTAGGTTTCAATAACTGCCTCCTACAAGGTCAGGGGCCTGTCCCGTGAAGAGCTGCACCCAGAGCTTACCACAGAGCCTAGCAGAAACAGATCAACCGATAGTGTTCAAAGCATGAGTCTTAATTGGAAGATGGTTGGGTTAGAAACCCTTCTAACTGCCCAGGGGAGGAGGCTGAAGAGGAGTCGGGGAAGCCAGCGGGGAGGGAGCTGGAGCTGTCCAGGGGTGAAATAAAGGTGGCCCACAGCGAGATGGAGGCAGAGATAGGGGACAGATGAAACCAGACCGGAGGCTCTGAGCCCTGGCTGCACAGTCTACCTGGGGGCGTGAATCACACAGTCTGCGCCCAGCTCCAGAGGCTCATATTTCATTGGTCTGGGGAGGGGTCCAGGCATTGGGATTTTTTTCCAATAATATTTGTGATTTAAGGAAATACACCCGCAAGATTATCATCTCAATTTGTAACCAAGATAACGATATGAGTGAGATAGTTTACATTCTTATTTTGCTCTTTTTTTTAACGATGTATTCAAAATCCGGTGTGTAATGTTGCTACACTCACAGCACATGTCCAAACGGACTAGCCCAAATTCAAGTTCCACAGCCACATGTGGCTACTGTATTGAATAGCAAAGCTGGAGAAGCTACCGGAAATGCCCAGGCTGATGGCTCTTCCAACAAGCTCCATGGACATGGGTTACCATTCAAAGACCCTGCAATGATAGAAAGATAAATCTATGAATTCTTTCAAAGGGCCCATTATAAAGGCTGATCGCTCAGCCTCAACTTCTGAGAAAAACATTGGGAATGGCCTGGTTGGATCATCCTATGAAGATACATCCGGTGGTGCCCAAACCGCCGACTGTTGGTACCTGCTAGCCTCAAGTGGACATGCATGAAAATTCTCCCGGAAAATTCCCATCCAGGAAGGCCAAGGTTGGTTACCATGGGAATCTGACCCTGACGTGTGAAGATGGGGTTGGTTCATGAGTCCCAGTGAACACACTTTGGGGAAACGGAATTGCTGAGGGATAACTCCACCTGTCTTGGCTTTGAGTCTTCTGGAAGGCATACTCCTTGGTCTATTGTACAAAGGGGCTGACTCAGCAGGTTGTCTTATCATTGGGAAGCTCCGGGGGCCTTTCCACAAAACCCCTCTTCTCAGACATGCACAGGTTCCAACCCGCATGTTAGATGCTTGAGTGGACACTGGGATTGTCTTTTCTGTCTTTCCCTTCGCAGGGGCCATGCTAATCGTCTCTGTGTCGTTCCAGTTTTAGTGTATGTGCTGCCGAAGCGAGCACCACGCTGGGATTTTCAAATCTCCCCGGGAGGGTCCGCTGTGCAGCCAGGAATTAGAAACATTCTGCAGATAGAATCCGGGAAGGCACTGGGGTTTCTAGCTCCAACCACTGGGATGTGGAGTCCATTTTTTTTTTTTTTAATATATTTGTATTGATTTCAGAGAGGAAGGGAGAGGGAGCAAAATAGAAACATCCGTGATGAGAGGGAATCATTGTTCAGCTGGCTTCCTGACACGCTCCCTACTAGTGATCGAAGCCTGCAACCCAAGCCATGTGACCCTTGACCAGAATTAAACCTGGGACCCGTCAGTCCACAGGCCGACGCTCTATCCACTGAGCCACACCAGCTAGGGCTGGAGTCCATGCTTGATAGCAGCAGGGAAGGAAATAGATGGGTTTGATGTTTCGCATGTGCCCAGGGCTCCCACTGGGAGCTGGACACATCAGAGGCACCTTATGAATCGGTGAGAACGAGAGCCACTGTGCTTGGACAATTCCGAGGTCGCCACGCTTCCCTGCCCGCCATTCCCTTCGTGTTTTCCTTGCTCACCCCCATTCCCTTGCTGGCTATCAGGTCTCGAACTCGCCCCGGCCCTCCCCACGGATCGCCCCGGCCCTCCCCACGGATCCCCCCGGCCCCACCCAGGAGCCACTCACCCTCCTGACGGGTCGGAAGGACATGAGCCGGTCGCTGCGGTAGCTGCTGGACCAGGTGTCCCAGGGCGGGTACTGGCCCTTCTCAGGACGAACGTTTCCCCTTGGAAGTCGGATGCTCAAAGGTGACCAGCTGGATGGGAGGGAGACGGGGAGGCAGCAAGGAGAGGCATTGTTAGCAGAGCCCCTCCCCCGCTTGCAAGGCAGCCCCAAGGCCAGTGGTTTGATTCCCGTCTCTGCCACTTACTGGCTGTGTGACCACAGGTAAGGGGATCCACCTCTCTGAGCCTTCGTTTTCTCATCGAATACAACTGTTTTCCTGGAGCTGGTGAGGGGTTAAATGAGACAATGTGTGTGATGAAGTGAGCAAAAATTCCTCCAGATGTAGGATTCACATCTGATTTAAGGGCTAGGCATAGAACAACACAGAACAAGACATGTTCTTTGAAACCTGATAACAGCTAGGAGGAAGTCTCTGCTGGGTGTCCCTGTGCCTTTAACAGAATCTCTTCTTGTAACAAAGGAAGAACAGGCCACCAACGTGGAGCCTTGAGCAGGCGACAGAACAATGCTCTGCTCTGTGCTCGCTGGGTTAAGTTTTTATGGATACATTGACTTTCAGCAAGTGATACCAGCTTCCCATCTGCCAAAGTGAGGTGAAGGTTCTTTGAAAATATATTTATTTCAGCTGAAAGGGTCATTTACAATGAAATATATGAAATAAAAGTCGTCCTCCGGGCAAGGGGGAAATGGATCCAGGGGACTGGATCATACGTTTGGTAAAGACTGGCCTGGCCTACGGAAGATGCTCTGTGATGGGAATGTGGGCAGGGGGAGGGAAATGATAATATTACCCACCTCTCGGGGACCTGTGAGAATTAAATGTGATCGTGCGTATGAAGGCGTTCAGTCCTCAACAAGGACTAAGGAACTACAAGCTTGAAGTCAAATGGGGGCTTTGCTGCCTGCCCCCCGCAGCCTGATGAAGATGGGAAATGAGGTTGTGTTAGAAGGACTAGGGTTTCTGGGGGGGATGGGATGATCCCCATTTTGTTGATGAGAAGGCTGAGGCTAAGGGACCCCTCGACCTTTGCTCTAGATGAGTGTTATCAGGAACAAAAGGGGGCACTGGCATTCATGGCATCTCCCTGGGGGCTGCTAGGACCTTCCTCTATCCAGAAGGAGATGGGGAGATGGGGTGGAGGGCTGGGCCACCACCATGGACTGGAGCAGAACGCGTCCCAGGAGCCTCAGGGCTTGTCTGAGGGATGAGCCAGCCTATAAGGGAGTGACAGAATTGAAGATGCAGACGGATCCTCCCAGAAGAGAGGTGAGTCTGCCTCAGTCCTGCCTGGTCTGGAGTAGATAAGGATGGATGGATTGATGGATGGATGGATGGATGGATGGATGGATGGATGGATGGATTGGTGGATGAATGGATGGATGGATGGATGGATGGATGGATGGATGGATGGATGGATGGATTGGTGGATGGGT